TGCTGCTCACATTGATACCCTGATTAGATATGAGGGAGACATTCATGATCACATGATCATTTGTCACGTACATGTTCAGGGATGCCAACAATGACATTGATTTGGATGTTTGTCTATCTCACTATTTAACCATCCCAAAGCTAAGTCTAAAGCTACAGTTTAACAGTAGATTTTGGCCAGATACTGAGACTGAGGTGGAATTCTTGGCCACCCCTCCTGTCTCAAATTCAGTTATCCCTTGGAAGGAGCACGAAGTATCACTCAGTGGAGTGCCAGACTCCCAGCCTTCTTCCTGTCTGGTGACCAAAGTGTTGAACATGGCATCTGAAAGGGTTATAACGAGGTTCATTCTGATTCTAGGCATTATTAATTGATTGGTTGGATTTTCACTCTTATTTTCTTGTTAAGTTTCCTCAGAATCTGTCTTCCTGGTCATTAGACGTAATCAACAGATAAGGGCTTCTTGGCTTAATTGATCTTATGACTTCCCTTAGGAGGGATGAGAACTTGAGTGAGGTTCTAGCAAGTGGCTCCCAGGCTTCAAAAGTATTTACCCTCATGCTGCAGTGATAGCATCATTAGCTATGACTATTGCTGAAGCTTGAATTCAAATAAAAGGCAATTAGATGTTAATTCCAGTACTCAACTCACACACAACTAAAACTTAATGATCTGGCAATTTGAACTTGAATATGAGAAAGGAATTCCTTTTGCTTCTTTGATCCTCTGATTTTATTGTCTGCCACAAAAGAAAAGCAAATAATACATAGCATTAGTGCAAAGCATGAAAAAGGAGGTAGGGAGCTGGGTGTGGTGGCTCACGCCTGTAATCCCAGCACTTTGGGAGGCTGAGGCATGTGGATCATGAGGTCAGGAGTTTAAGACCAGCCTGACCAACATGGTGAAATCTCCTCTCTACTAAAAATAAAAAAAAAAAATTATCTGGGTGTGGTGACGTGTGCCTGTAATACCAGCTACTCAGGAGGCTGAGGCAGGAGAATCACTTGGACCGGGAGGCGGAAGTTGCAGTGAGCTGAGATGGCACCACTGCACTCCAGCCTGGGTGACAGAGTAAGACTCTGTCTCAAAAAAAAAAAAAAAAAAAAACCAGGAAAGAAAAAGAAAAAGGAGGTGGGAGCCAAATTTGCTAAAAATTCCAAAAGCTGGTCTATAGCTCTGCTTCAGAATTACCTGAAGGTTGGATAAAGCTGAAGTCCATTATTTAATCTGATAATTTCTATACATCACAAATAATGGGCTGAAAATCTCAGATCAGGAAACCCTTCCTGAAACTCTGGATGTGACTTAATGGCCTCCTTTTTCTAAACAACTGCAGATATCTGTGCACATCTCTGCTGTAGCTTTGGTCACATTTCCCTGCATACACAGGAAGTCACTTGCTTCTTAGTTGCCCCTTTTCTTGATTATGTTTTTAGAAGGAAGATTTGGTTTTAAATTCAATTTGATATTCCAAGAACCTAGCACAGTTTTAGGTAAGAACTCAGTAAAAATCACTACTACTACTTCTATATGACTATGATTATTAGTACTACTGGTGGTAGTACTAGAGAACTAGTACTATTCCTGTTTCTGCTGCTTCTGCCATATCCAGTGTAGCTGGTGAGTTAATGCGGACCCCACTCACGTACGGGGGATAGGCATGCACATTTCCACACTATGGTCCCTTTTCAGCCACCCTCCCGAGATGGTCATGGCAGAGGGAAGATGTGGAGGTGTTCTGGATGAAAAGAAAAGTTTAAGAGTTTATGACAGAAAAACCACTCATATTGCAAATAGTGGTATGATCGCTGTGAATTTGCTATACCTCTCGGATTTTAAAATATTTCTATATATGTGGCACTTTCTATTTTCTATGGGTTATTTGGATTCCCCCCTAAACGTATGATTGCCGTAGCATGGTGATGCTGTAGGAGGAGATGCAAATTTGATTCCATATTGTCTAATACATATTTTATCAGTAATTAAGGAAACATTTGCTAAACTAATGAACTTAAACAAGTCTCTGAGTCTCAACGTCAGTTTCACTGTCTATAAATTCAGAATAATGTAACCTGTCTTTCTAGGGCTATTTGGAGAATGCAAAGAGGAAACAAATATGAAAGCAGTTTGCAAGCTGCCAGGTACTAGGCACCGTAAGGTGTTATTATATGGCTGTGATAATTTTTTCTTCTGAACTTCCTGTAGCACTTTGCACTGAATGGCAAGGTCAGCTTGGTTGGAGGCCAGAGCCTTGGTCTGGTTGAAAATAAGCACCTGACACAAGGTCCAAAGACCTGGGAACAAAGCCCTGTCCCACGATTTCACTAGCTATGTGACCTGAGATAAATTACTTGAGAAAAGAATCTTAAAGTCATCCAGCTCATGGGTTACCGTGAGAATTAAGTAGAAAAACATCTGTGAAGCCACCTGGTGTATGGCAGGCAGTTGGCCAGTGTTTACACAGCATTTTTTTTAGGGCAGAGAAAGATACAGAGGAATCAAAATGCTTCTGAGCAGGTAGCCTGAAAAGAGGAGAAATCCTAAACTCCATAGACCTGGCTTCCTGCTCTGCCCCATGTGGCCTGAGAAAGTCCTGGAACCACTCTAAGCCTGTTTCCTCAGATATGAATTGAGAATAATAATGATGATAATACTAATAATGACTATTCCCTTAATTATCTCTTAGGGTTGCTCTAAGGACTAAAAAATATGAGATAGGAACTAAAACTTTAGTCTATTCTCCCCCAAAGTGGCGTCATGGTCATGATAATTCTCCTCATTTTTAAAGACAGTTTTAAGCCATGTCCAGTGTTTTCTGTTGACTCAATATGTGCCTACGATGTGCTTTTGACAAAATGTATGCAGTCCAGTATAAAACTTGACCTTAGCCAGGCATGGTGGCACATATCTATAGTCCCGACTATTTGGGAGGCTGAGGTGGGGGGATCACTTGAGCCCAGGAGTTTGAGGTTGCAGGACTGCACTCCAGCCTGGGCAACAGAGTGAGACCCTGTTTCAAAAATCAAAGACAACAGCAACAACAATAGACAAGAAAGGCAACCTTCGCCATCTCTGGAAGCCATCTTTTGAGTAGCAAAACACCAATAAAAACGAAGGAAGGTAGAGAAAAAGAGGAAAGAAGGAGGCAGCTGATGAGAAACGGAGGGATAGCATAGGAGCAAGAAGAGAGACTTGTTCTGACAACTTTGATAAGATGCAAACTTTCTTCCTGAGCTCTTCTCCCCTTATCCACCTTGAGCCCTCCTTTCCTTTAAAACCTTCGTGAAGGCAAAGTCAGCCAAGATCTCAGAGGGTGCAAAGGGAGGCACAGTGTGGCAGGAAAAGCACCGTCCCCTGGGCTGAGGAGGCCTGCCCACCCCACGGGGGCCCTGCAGCTGCAGCCTTACTGACTAGGTTGATTCAAGGCAACAATGAGTCTGGGAAGGTGTAACAATACCACACATTGAACTTTCTGTATTGAATCTATTAAACACCTACCACGTATTGAACATCTAATATGTACTGAACGCCTACGGTATATTGAACTGTGTGCTCTGCTGGTATGTTCTCAGTGAACTCTCAGTGAGTCTCATAGGGCAGTTCTGCAGCACAGTTGTTTTGCCCAGTCATGGAGTTAATAAACTGCAGAGGCAGGACTTGAAGTCAGGTCCACCATTCCACTGTCCCCTTTCAGCTCCTAGCTTCTGCACTGTGGGTGGCTAAAGAGGTCTGAGCAAGCATTTCTGTGTGGTCACCATTCAGAAGTGGTTGATGTCAGCAACTTGCTTGGTTCATCCTCCTAGAGGCGGAGGTGGTGAATAAGCTCTTTTACTCATGAGTAAGTGGAATTTGTTTCTGACAGACTGTTAATTGGAGGGTCATATAAAGATTGCCCCATAGAACAAACATGGCTTAGACTTGAGGGGCTAGCTGGGAAGTAGCCTGCAAGCCAGTCCAGAAGGGTGAGGCTACCCCAGTGATGCTGGCACTTCAGATACTGAGGGAGCTGGGAGAAACTTCCTCCAGAGTCGTGGTGCTCACGGTGTCAAACACTTCTGAGAGGTTAGACGATGTAAGAACCAAAAAGGAACACGAGGTTTAACAGTGAGAAGGTAGGTTGCTCCCCAGGGTCTGAGATCACATCATGCGTTTTATTCTATTTCTACTCAAAAGGTTTCTAAGGGGTTGTTCTCTATCTTGTCACCAGTTTTGGGGAGTACACCCTCTTTTTTTTTTTTGGAGACAGAGTTTCGCTCTTGTTACCCAGGCTGGAGTGCAATGGCGCAATCTCGGCTCACCGCAACCTCCGCCTCCTGGGTTCAGGCAATTCTCCTGCTTCAGCCTCCCGAGTAGGTGGGATTACAGGCATGCACCACCATGCCCAGCTAATTTTTTTGTATTTTTAGTAGAGACGGGGTTTCACCATGTTGACCAGGAAGGTCTCGAACTCTTGACCTTGTGATCCACCCGCCTCGGCCTCCCAAAGTGCTGGGATTACAGGCTTGAGCCACAGTGCCCAGAAGGGAGTACACCCTCTTTAGGGTTGCTCTGTGTATTCCCTTTCCATACAGCTCACAGAAAGTGTCTTTTAACTGAACTTAACCGCCTGATTGTTAATGAGGATAGAGATACACCTCTGCTGTAGAAGAAGAGCTCAGCAGTCTCCACAGTTAGCTATCCAAGTATTTCCTGACCTGGATGGTAATCAATCAGTACATCTGCGACTGTGATGATTCTTTTCTCCTTTTGACATAGCTCACCTGAATCTGAGAGCTGACGTATTTTTCTTAAACTCTTTTTTTTTTACTGTGAAATATTCTAGTCACGCATGTTGGTGGCTGGAAGAGTGAATTAATAGCAGTCTAATCACCCTGGAGATGCTATGCTTCTGTGAGCTGGCACCGAGGTAAGGCAGCGCATCTCTGTGAGAATGACAAGTGAATGAATCTGCTCCTCATTTAACCTGCTGTTCTTTTCTCTCTCTCTGTTTTCTCTCCTAGGAAACAAATGGAAGACTGCTGCGACCCTGCCCATCTCTTTGCAATGACTAAAATGAATTCCCCCATGGGGAAGAGCATGTGGTACGATGGGGAGTTTTTATACTCATTCACCATTGACAATTCAACTTATTCTCTCTTCCCTCAGGTTAGTATAGAGTTTGTTGCATTTCAATATAGTTTCTTAAATTTCTTGCTGTCATAGAAAAGGGATAATTGAGTTTGCCTAACTCGTCAGATAGACTTTTTGTTTTCTTCTCTCTTAAATGTTTTTCTTTATAGCTGTCATCCTTGTGTGTGTGAATAAATCACATAGTGTTTTGATGCCAGGGCGGACGTGGGATATTATGGAGTTACAGTTTTCCTGGCTTTTCTAATTGGAGTCCTGTGAGACTGAAGGAAGCAAACAGTGAATGGTCAGGGACTTGTGGAATTCTAGTGTTCTGAGGTTGGCTGTGGCAGGACTGTGAGGATTTGTGTGGTACTGGAATGTTTTCTTAGGACTGATGTTGCTCAAGGAGTGGGGACCATATGGTTAGAAAGAAGGTTGGTGCTTAGAGCTCCTGATGTTAACCCTGTGGTTAGATTACTGCTATGAAACGGAGGAGTGGTGAATTTGAAGGGGGATAATCCAACTTGACCACTTTTGAAGTGGTCTAAATCAAGCTTTGCTTACTTAATGTCTCCTCTTGGTTTTCTGAGCATTAAAATAAAATGTTTTTCTAACATACATGTAGGCAGCAAGTGGGGAGAAAAGGGAACTTTTATTTTAGGGAACACTAGTTGCAGGGCGGGGAGATCTTAGGTAAAATTGCAATTAGGGAAAAATTCAGAAATGAATCGTGTCCTCCTCAAGACTTCAGGCCACCCTTGATTTGCTCAGATGATTGTTCAGAAAGATAATTTATGAGCCTTGGAAAGTGGGACTGAACCTTTCATGTATCTCTGTTAATAGTCCATGAGACTTTAAAGGAGGAATCCTACAAAGTTGACACACAGGTTCTGCCAGATCAGAAGTCACACTCTATAAAACAGCCATGCTGACTCGCTCATCCTTAGATACTTCAGTCTAGTTTAATGGTTTTAAAATGTAGTGATAAGATTTTTCTTTTAATTTTTGAAATAGGAAATAGAAGCTTTAGTTTATTGCCAGCATCTACGTGTTTTCTCTCTGTCTCTCTCTGTCTCTCTCTCTCTCTCTCTCTCTCTCTCTCTCTCTCTTCTTCATCTGCCCTTGGGAGGCTTCCAAGTGTCAAAAGAAATAACTAAGAGTCATAATATGTGGAACTGACTTTTGTCTCCATCTCTTACTAACTAAATTCCTTGGATAATTACCTAAGTTGTCTGAGATTCAGCTGTCTTGTCTCTGTGATGGCTAGAGCATACTTGTCCTGTTTACTTTACAGAGTTGTGGAAAAGATCAACTTAGGTAATGCATGTATATGTCCGTTTTTTTTTTTTTTTTGACAGTCTCACTCTGTTGCCCAAGCTTGAGTGCAGTAGCGTAATATTGGCTCACTGCAACCTCCACATCCCGGGTTCAAGCAATTCTGCCTCAGCCTACTGAGTAGCTGGGATTACAGGCATGTGCCACCATACCCAGCAAAGTTTTATATATTTAGTAGAGACCATGTTTCACCATGCTGGCCAGGCTGGTCTCGAACTCCTGACCTCAAGTGATCGGCCCACCTTGGCCTCCCAAAGTGCTGGGATTACAGGCATGAGCCACCACACCCCACTGTAATGCACATAAATGTACTTTATAAACTACAAAGCATTATATGTTTGGTATTAATGTGCTGATTCATACTTAGTATCTTGAGGCTGAATCATGAAGAATAGAACTGTATTGGTGAGAGTTTAGGCAGAAATCTCTGTAGATATTTTTAGCAGAAAGATGTTTCATATAGGGAATTCGACATTTAGAAAAATCACTAGAAGAATGGAGAATTGGGAGCCAAATGGTAGCTCCTAGAATTACTGAGTTTAAGAAGCTACTACTGTAGCTGTGGTCTAGGGGTTGGGAAGTCCCAACTTCCATTGCTGTTAGCGTAGCCACAACTGCTTACTTTAGAAACAGGAAAGATGGGTTCCAATTCTTCTCCCCTTTTCAAATCTTCCTCAAATGTTTCTAATGAAGAAATAATTTGCATGTAGAACAGTAGTTGCAAAGAAGTCCAGGTAAGGCAGTTTTTAACTATCATGCTTCAGTAGGAAGCTGGAAAGAGAGTGGAACAGGGTTAAGCAAGCCAATCCACAGGACCTTCTATGTATGAAAACTGCTACCAACTAGCTGTGGCATGAGGAAGAGATAAGGAAGCCATCTCCTTTAACAGCTCATGACTTAGAAATGTTTTCAATGAAATCCAAAGTAGCCTTTTTGTGGACAAGGACTTTTAGTTACACCAACTGACTTCTAATTTCGTATTAGAAAATGGATTTAAAGGGATGATGAAAGATATATAAACTAGCTTCCTATCATATCTGTTGGTTGCAGCAATAGGGTTGTAAGAAGCATTTACTTTTTAAAGTGTGTGCAAATGAATTCTGTGCCTCTTAGTGCCAGTTTTAAGACCAAGGAAACATCCTCGAATAATAAAGGAAGAATGCTTTCTTCTTGGGAATCAGAAGTCATCATATCATTGTGTATTGACACAGCCATTGCAAAAGGCAGAACCAATTCAATGAGTAGGTTTTAAAAAACAATGCATATGTATTTTCCTGCTAAGAATCTGAAATAACTAATTGATTCGTAGAAATCTTGGTAAACCAGTGTGCATCCCTGAAAAAAATGGTGTTTTTCCTCTGCTCTCATTCATTATTATTTCTTAGCAAAATGTTTCTCGTTTGTTATCAGCCAACAAGGTTGCCAGTTAATTGATATGCTTCATTCATGCTCCCAGGGGGAAGAAAATACAGTGTGTGCAGATGAGGTAGAAATGCAGGTGAGTGGGCCAGGCTCAATGTTTTCAGCATGAACAAAGCATCGCTCCTTTACCTGAGTTTCAGTGAAATAATGCTAAGTCACTCATTTCCAACCTCAGTTCTACATGTGGACCTTTACACTTACCCCTTAAATGCTCAGTATATGTTAGCCATCATTATCAATGTTATCTGTTTGCCTACTTTTAACTATTGTTTTTTTGTCGTTGGTACCAATGCAGTGTAAGAAGGGAGATGCTCTGGTACATTAGAGAATATCAACAGGTCCTGTAAGGGCTGGGGCGGTATATTCTCAGGAGGTAACTATTGAAATGTCTGTACATTGAGATGCCACATCAAACTCCTTTTAGTTAGTTAGTTAGTTATTTGGACCTTCCACAACTTTCGGTAATTTTATTTTCAAATGTATTCCATTCTGCCACATAATGCCGTGCATGTAACTTCATACCTACATATGACAGGGTTTAAAAGTCCTTATCTGCTATCTCAGTACCCTCTTGTGAGCTCTTGAGAACAAGAGGGTTTTCACTTTTGTGCCCACTGCAATGCTTCCCACTCAGTGTAATTATTCATTTCCAACCACTCATGTCTGTCAAGGGTTTTCTCCGGCCATGTCTCACTTGGGCTAGATTCCTGCAGTGCCCTTGCTTCAACTATAGGAAACCAAGCAGGACATTCAGAGGTAGCTGTTTCCAAAGGGCTCCATAAATGTATTTTGGTGAAGTATTTGTTGAATATTCTTAGGCATGAAGGGCTGAATTTTTAACCTTCCCACAGGATTTTAAAAACATGTGACATATATGTGCGTGTTCGCATTTGGGGAGGAAAGTGCGGTGGTATCAGCAGCCTCACTTTGAGAATAGCTGCTCCGAATCCCCTGGGTTGGGACCAGCTCTTTCTTGCTTAGCCTTTTAAGCCTGCATGGTCCAGTGTTTGCAGGAATTATTGAATAAACTCTCCTTTGGCCTAAGATATATTGCCCAGGAAGGACACAAATTTCCATGGGAATGAGTGAGGGAGTAGCAGGAATGTTAGAAGTCACAACTGTGCTGCGCTGATATAATCTGAAAAATATTTCCTTTTGGTGTTATAAAAACATAGTTAGCTCTGCATTCTCTTACATTGTGATATAAATTACAAATGACTATTCATTTCTCCTCAGCTTGTTCACCCAAGGCCATATGTAAATCATCAGTAAACATCACTAATGCACCCCACACAGAAACTCATTTCCAGCTTCCTAGGTTGGCCGTAGGCTCCTGTCATGTTCCACTGTGCCTGGACTGCAGCGTCCTTGGCCTGTGGGAAACCCAGCAGGACATTTTGAAGTAGTTTGTCAAAATAGCCTTGTTAAAATGAAAATACACACTTTTTTTCCTTCACGGTAATGTGTTTAATAGAATTCTCTGAGCTCCTAGATATCCCTGAGTCTCACAGCAATTTTTTTTCTTTTAATAAAATTTGGATCATACTATATAGTCTACAGAATTTGGTAGGTTTTTCCCACTTATTCACATTTTTGCAATCATTTCCCCTGATACATATCTTTTCGGCTGGAAGGAACTAAGGGGACTAATGTCTGGTGGACATCGATCTTTGCTGGACTTCTGTTAGTTTCTGTTGGGAGGCTTGCCTGTGACTGCTTTATAACAGAAACGTGATAGGGGGCAGAACCAAATAGGTGCTTATTCATCTCAAACAATAAGGAATTAGAAGGTGCATAGTTTAGGCTCAGTGGTGGCTACATGGCACCATCAAGCTCCCAGACCTCTGTCTTCCTACTCAAACCTCCTTAGCTGATGGCCAAGGAACTTTGCAGTTTTTGTTCAGGATCCCAGCAAAAAAGAGTAAACAGAAGAAGAAATTTGGACAGACTCCTGCTCATGCGTCATTAATCAGGACTGAGTCACATGGGCATGTCTAATTTCAAGGAAGCTTGGGAAGTCCTGTGTTCCAGCTTCAGGCAAATGCTTTGCGTTTGTCAACTATATGGGCTGCCTCAGTTTCTTTATATGTTTTCTCGCTCGGCTCTTACAGCAACTTTGTGTGGCTGATATTATTGTCTCCATTTCATGGATGAAGCTAAGACTGAGAGGGGTTAAATACCTTGTTCAGGGTCCTGGAGCTGGTAGGTGGAAGGGCTGGGATCTGAAACCTGGCCTGTCCGATTTCAAAGGTTTCAGTGTTTACTCTGGTTTATTTCCTTAGGAGACATGGATTCTAGTGGATTAGTTCATTCTTGTTACTCAGTCAACCTGAAACCATTTCAAGGTTTTTCACTTCTCTTATAAAAATACCCTTATAAGAAATGGAGAAATTTCATTTAAAAAAATTAATTTTAATTTTATTTTATTTTGAGACAGGGTCTTGCTCTGTTTGATAAACTAAAAGTGCAGTGGCACAATCATGGCTCACTGCAAGCCTCAACCCAGGCTCAAATGATCTTCCCACCTCTGCCTCCCAAGTAGCTGGGATTATAGGTGTGTGCCATCACCCCCGGCTAATTTTCGTCTTTTTTTTTTTTGTGGAGGCAAGGTTTTGTTATATTGACCAGGCTGGTCTAGGACCGCTGGGGTCAAGTAATCCACCCACCTTGGCCTCCCAAAATGCTGGGATTGCAGGTGTGAACCACGACACCTGGCCAAGAAATTTATTTTGCAGCTTTTTGGGAGAAAAAATAGAGCGTAAATATACAGGATGTGGAATCCTATACAAGACCCTAGTTTCTATACAATAGTCTCTTTTTGGCTTTGAGCTCCCTGGTGGTGCCTGTTGAAAGGAGAAATAAGAGCATTTACACTATTTTGATTTTTATAAAGGGGAAACCTTGCATGCTTCTTTGTTATACGAATCTAGAACATGGCTCCATTACTGTTGAATAATTAAGGTAATTCGCCCTGCCATCTTGGCCTAATGCTAATACTGGAGTACTATGTAGGGTATGCAGTCTAAAAATCTGGATTCTAAGCCCGGCCTTCGTATGATGATGTTTATGATCCCAGACAAGTCGTGGAACCATTCTCGGCATGAATTTCATAATTTGCACATTGGGGCAAATAATACTTGGTCTTTATATTTCAGTATTATTACTCTGAGTAACAAAGTTAAAATGAGATAATGGGTTTAAAAGTGCTTTGTAATGAATGCATTGTAAAATGATATGATAATATTATTACTGTTATTTTCTCTCAAAGTGTTTATGGACTTTAGCATTGCCTTGGCATTTGGGTAATGCCAGGAACCCACGGAGCAAAACAAAAACTAAAACACCACTAAAAATGGGGTCAAATCAATTTTCCAGGACAGTGAAAAGAAATAAAGATGTTGAAGCAGAGATTTAGGAAAATATATAAGTAGTAATGGAGAATGCTAAGTGTTTCATTGTATTTGGATAATACAGTAAAGTAAAAGTGCAAGGTGAAATAAATTATTAACTTCCAGTGAATTAAGATTGTGATCTGAACAATGGATTGATATCCACTGTTCTTCAAATTTCTCTGTAACTGAGAAGAGGAGAATGGAGCATCACTGGACATCCAAATATCTGTTTTCTTCATAGGAAAAGGAGAACAATTGATTAGGAGTGAGGTAGTCCAATGTAGTTGCTTAAAAGAATAGTTGACAGGACCGATAAGATGTCTTGTTTTTCAAATTTAGAAATAATTAAAAATGAAGACTTTTCTTTAATGAAAATTTTCAGGTTGTCTGTGGTTAAGAACAAAATGAAAAACAAAGGAATGCGCTATTTTGCCACGGCGTAGATCTTCTAAATTACTTGATGGTGTGTAAAGTTTCATACAAAGACTGATTATGGCTCAGGATTCTAGCTTCCTGAAAATAATTGAAAAGAATTCATGCCACCAATTACCACTGAGTCATGTCTCATCCAGTAGGCCTCTCGGGAATGATGGCTTTTCTTAGGAGGTGTTACTGTTCCACAGAACATTTTCTTCTTAGGTTTGGTGACGTGCAGGTGTTTCCCTGCAGAGAAAGCTGGTATACCTTTATTTTCTTTTTTTATTAGTTTCTTTTATTTTTCCTTTGATTAGTTTCTTAATCTTGGTCTCTCTTACAGACAAAGGTCCAAGTGCAAAAAGGAATTTGCATCCTATTTTGATTTAGTTTTGAGCATTTGTTTGAATACTAGGAAGCCTTTGTTTCATTTCTATGAATATGTTCATTTGTACTTTTAAACTCTATTAGGAGTAGCTTAAATGTCAGTTAATATTTGATTGACTGAAAGAGAGACATCATTTCAACCCCGAATTTCCTCTGGCTTAATTAATTTGGTCAAATAATCAAGAGGTATGAATAGGTACAGAGAACATTTTCTGAGTGTCTATATTCAGATCAATTCACTATCTACCTTCTAATTCACTGTCTTCCTTCCATTGATGGTCACAAATTCTTAGATCATAGGTGAGATAGCACAACATATTTGTAATCACTCATGGCCTGACTAGGTATACCCTGTTATTTTCAGGGTTCAGAACTTCTAAGTACATTGAAGAGACCAATCCTAAAGCTAACTTGCCCAACACAATGGGGAAAGGGGTTGGGTAGAGATAGGATCGGGAGTGGACATAGCTTTGGGGGCTAAAAGGAAGTCCACCCAGTAGCCAGAAAGGGGTATTGCAGTTCTTACCATGGGATACTGTTGGCAATAACCGGAAGACAATAAGGAGTAACATGATGTGTTGCTAGTACGTAGGATGCAGAGATGAAAGCAGGGGTGGATGGAACTACACCCAGAGACCTGGTTAAAACTGTTGACTTCAAATTACCAGTCTCTAGGCTGGAGATTTTGGCAACTGGCAGCCTCCAAGGGTACTGGTCAGAAGAAGGCAGAGCCTCGGCCTTCCAGAGGCTTGGCAACTGATCATTTATCACAGCAGGAACACAAGTGAACAAGGTGAGGGTCCCAGCATTGGGGCCAAAATTAGGGACTGTTTTTGTAAGCAAGGCTGAAGCACAGTTACTGGAACTTGGTATTAGCTGGGAG